AAGTGGCTTATTCAGATCAGAGATATACATTTCCCTGTGACAGAAATTCCCTTTAAAACCTCCTTCAGCTCCTTAACTTCCCTCCCTCTCAAGCCACCATTCCAGAGGGGGCTGGCATAATCCTCAGAGTGATGATCTCCTCTTTGATAATCTCTTGTTTGCTGTGCTCTGAGGGAGCTCTGAGCTCAAAGCCAATGCTGAAAACATCTCAGCCAAAGGATCATGATTAGTTTAGTACTACTGGCAAGCCGGGTGCCCCGACCTTATATTTGTGCATTTTTGCCTAAGTGTAGAACCTGACATTTATCCCTATTGAAATTCATTTTGTTAGTTCTCCAATCGTTTAAGGTCATCTTGAATCCTGATTCTGTCTTCTGCTGCGTTAGCTACTTTCATGGGAAAGGCAATATTAATTGCATCATAGACATCCACACAGGTGGATTCATCCATGAGACAAGGTGGGGCAACTGTCTCACACAGCAGGATTCACAGCAACAGTAGCAGATCCCAGTGTAGTTCTTTATCCCCCCCCCCCCGTTCCTGTGTGTGTGTAATTAATTTAGGAATTTGAACTGCTAGGCTGGCAGGAGCTGGGACAGAGCAACGGGAGCTCACCCTGTCACGGGGATTCGAGCCGCCGACCTTCCGATCAGCGAGCTCAAGAGGCTCAGTGGTTTAGACCGAGGGCAGTCTTAAGCATATCTGGCACCGTGGTGCAAAGCTCCCTCCGGCGGCCCCACCCCACCCCGTTTCCCAGAGTTTTTTAGGGAGTACGGCACTGCCGGCGGGGCTGGAGGAGGAGGGCAGCGGCTGGAGGGTGGCTCCTCTGGCGGGGAAGAGGTAGAGGCTGGACGCAGCACCTCCCAGCTCAGCTGGCCACTTCGTGCCACAGTGGCCATGGCAGACGGAGGCTCCGGGCATGGCACACCTTTGGCATGGCATGGGGGAGGCGGGCAAGGGCGGTGAGTTGATGCCGAGAGGTGCCGCGTCCAGCCTCCAACCTCTTCCCTGGCACCTTCCAGAACTTGGCGCCCCGCACCACTAGCCTCTATGAGTAAGATGCCCCTGTTTAGACCACAGCGCGCCGCAACCCCATAGTCACCTTTGACTGGTCTTAACCGTCCAGGGGTCCTTTACCTTTACCTTTTATCTTTTAGTTTAGGAATACACCAGAAATAGTTACTAGCATGGTTGGGAAAGAAAAAAGAATCATACAGTGGTACCTCGGGTTAAGTACTTAATTTGTTCTGGAGGTCCGTTCTTAACCTGAAACTGTTCTTAACCTGAAGCACCACTTTAGCTAATGGGGCCTCCCGCTGCCGCCCTGCCGCCAGAGCATGATTTCTGTTCCCATCCTGAAGCAAAGTTCTTAACCCAAGGTACTATTTCTGGGTTAGCGGAGTCTGTAACCTGAAGCATATGTAACCTGAGGTACCACTGTATACTTTTTGGATTGCTATGCAGTGTCTGGTGTGTATACAGTCATACCTCATGTTGTGTCCGCTTCAGGTCGTGTTTTTTTCGGGTTGCGGACTGCCAAAACCCAGAAGTACCGGAACAGGTTACTTCTGGGTTTCGGCAGTTGAGCATGCGCAGAAGCACTAAATCGCGCTTTGCGCATGCGCAGAAGCGCCAAATCGCAACCCGTGCATGCGCAGACGCACATGCGCAGGTTGCTAACGTGCATCCGGCATGGATCACGTTCGCAACCCGAGTGTCCACTGTACATTGTTTATAGTTATGTGGAGGGCCAGGAAAGAAATTAAAGCATTGAGGAAGTAGTGGGCATGGAAAGTAACAGAAAATGACAGTTGATCCATCGCCCACCCCCAAACACTGAAACAAATCGTCTACAGCCCCAAGTGAAGCCTTGAGACTGGTGTTGTTTGAAGGCTAGCATCATTTGGACTGCACAAATCAAATGGGACCACAAACAGCTGCAAACACGCAGTATACTCCCGTGTATTTGCTAAGTGTACCTTGCAATGTTGTGGCAGCCACCTCCATCACCCTCTTATTAAGGGCCAAGTTCCATGTGGCAGCACAGCCCACGTGCATTTGCATTCCTCATGCCTGCATCTGCACTACGCTCCGTTCCTGGCTTTGCCCCCTCCAGTTTTGGCAAGAACTTGTCAGAAAGATAACGTTCTGGCTTAGCCACAAAAGAACTCTGGCGGTCTGCAAATCCGCTGGATTGCTTGCTATTCTTTTACCATTGTGAGGCACAAAGGCATCAGAGTTAAGATGGTGATTATCAATAATGGGGTGCATTTTGGATTCCCAACTAACTGCCATGCAACAGATCTTGTGTCTTAATGCTATGCAATTATAGCGAGCAGCATATGCCATCATTAGCACTCCCTGGTGTGCTGGAGAAGGGGGTATTAGCTAAAAGCATGCTTATTTTTAGAAGGTCCTTTAAATGTTTCTTTTTTGAAAGAAAACACCCATAAATAGTCCTTTAGTCCCCAAGAGCCCTATTAGTTGAAGCAGCGTGATGTGCCCTGAGATTAGTATTAATGTGCAGCCCACTTTATAAACTAATCTGGGAATTGTCTTTTTAACACTAGAGGAATATATGCTCAGCATTGACTTCTCTAAAGCTGCAGTCCTATGCACATTTCCCTGGGAGTAAGCCGAAAGGAAAACCTTGACAGAGTCTCAGGCTGCGTGTCACTGCACTATCATAGGCTGCTGTTTTAAGGACCTCTTCACACATTTTATGTTTGGAGGCACACCTGTGATAAGGAACAAGAAGTGTTTTTCAGTCTGAGGGTGGCATTCCCTCATGAACCTTTCAGGGGCTGGATGATTATGGTGCAACTTGAATAAAATATTGGAGGGGCCAAGATAATCTTTTTTAAAAAAAAAATTCCATTTAAACATATGTAATCACATTATTATTATCCGCTTTACCTCTTTGGCTCTTTAGAGCCTATCGACTTCCTTCCCTCCCACCTCTTGGCTTTCAAAATTAACCTTTATATCACAGCATTTTATATATTTTCCAATTCTAATAAGACTCATCACAAAATACCTCAACATTTAAATAAATGTAGAAAGGTAAAAAAAATCTCATTACAAGTCTTCAGATACCCCTACTAGTGTTGTTGATGGTTTACAATGATCTTTCAAATATTGTATAAATTTACTCCAGTCTTTTTGGAAAACTTGATCATGCTGTTCTCAGATTTTTCCTGTCAGCTTCGCCAGTTCCGCAAAGTCCGTCAGTTTCATCCGCCACTCTTCTTTCATTAGTACTCCTTGCTGTTTCCATTTTTGGACTAAAAGGGTTCTTGCCGCTGTTGTTGCATACATGCACAATCTTTTATCTTTTCTTGGTATCTCTTCGCCTACTATACCCTGTAAAAAGGCTTCTTGTTTTTTAACAAAAGTGTTTTTAAACATTTTCTTTAACTCATTATTTATCATTTCCCAGAAAGCCTTTAGGAGGGGCCCAGATAATCAACCACAAGATGTGGCATACATACACACCCCATTTGAATGGCAATGTCTATCAATTTGGGGGGCCTTGCCCCCCCAAACATTTTATTAGGAGTGAAGGGACTTGAGCCCCTAGGAATTGGCTCCTCTGCTCTGCTGGATGGGGTCAGAGACAGACATGACTCTTAACTTTCTCCATAGGCAACATACCAGTCTAGTGGAAGTCAGAGATTTCTACCAGGGTTCTCCTCCCTCAGCCACAAGATTTGGCGAGCTCTGGTGGAGCAGTACCCTACTTGCCCTCCTGGACTAGCCTCAACTAGTCTTCTTGGTAGCGAAGCTGGAGATTATATTTTAGGTGGTATACCAGCTAAAAGAAAAAAGGCAATAGAAGTTAAATTGCATAGCATCACCTAGTGGTTGGAGGAAATGTAACCCTCAAACAGATGCAGGCGACAGGACATCATTTCTCTCCAGTTTCATTATCCTGTTCTTGAAGGGCTCAATTTGCAATTCTCATAAAAAAAACAACAACAACTAATAATCCTGTGTTGGTCTATAAGGGGGGAGGGAATCCAAAGTTCATAGTGGGATTTTGCAAGCATTCATATGCTCAGAGAGTGAGCTGCAGGCAGTCTTTTGTTTCTCCTGCACTGACGTTCTAGGATGTGTGATGGTCACCTGTCTATGTTACCGGGTGGATCTTGCGCTGTTTGTCACTGTATGTCACTCAGACTGCAACCATTTGGTGGAGCATCCTTGCAGCCTGAGCCAATTCTAAGAAGACAAAATTGTTCCATGCAAGCAAAGCTGTTAGCAGCCTAACCCGTCTCTCAGGAACATTAACAGCAAGCGGCATTGATAGCTTTATAATCAAGGAGCCTATTCCAAGGCAGCACTGACACAAACTCTGCAGGAAATATGTGTGTCTTTCCTAGAGACCGGTGAATGTATTTTAATTTTCTCCATCTTAAATGTAAAGCACATTTGATTAAATGTAAGTTGCCTTCCCCATCCACCTCCATGTGATGTGCTACGTCCAAGGTTTCGTTATGAAACTGTTGACTTTTACGAATGTGTAATGTATTTTTCCTATTACAGTATGGGTTATAGACACAGAGAGCACAGTCTGTATAGATAACATTTTTACTGTGTTGTACAGGGAAATTTGTTCCTAAATACCTGTGGTCTTCTCTCAAAGTCATTCCCGGCTGCAAATCACTGTGGGAAAACTGTAAGGGGCAAAACTGTATTTATGGCAGCAATAAAATAAAATAAGATCTAGTGAAATGTGGCAGAAAACCCAACCTTCTGAGTTTCCAAGAAGCTCTGTAAGAAGGTTTGGTTTAAATAACATGGTAAGATAAGATATACATAGTGCAATATAAATGAAGAAATGTGAAGATATGTAATAACTACGGAAAATTATCAGACATGTTGATGGAAGTCTAAAAGAAAAAAGGCGTGTGATGAATTCCAAATGTTTAATTGTGTTATAAATTTGTTTTTATTGGAAAATTAATAAAAATTATATACAAAAAAAAAAACACAAAAACCCCCAACCGTCTGGAAGCCTGAAAACTGAAAAGTTTACAGGACTCGAAGAAAATCATGGATCTGTTCAAAATTAAAGTATGTATAATTAAGTGGGCCTCAGATTTGGTCACTTCTTAATTCTTTTGTATTTGATTCTTCTCTCAACTTGTTTCTAGCTGCAGCTTAGAGCTGAAATGAGAGATATGATTTGGTAAAAGACATGGTTCTTTTTTGTTCACAGATATTTCATCATATTTAATTACGTCTCACTTCTTAAGTGTGTGGCGCTATTTTGTTTTGTGTTCCATCATTTTTAATTTTATATTCTACCTAAAGCTGGAAGTGGCCTAGGTCTCTCTGGACTACTGAAACCGAGTGTCCCTGATCATTGTTCTTGCTGGCCAGGGCTGGGAGCAGCACACAGGCACTCAAAGGCTTGGCCAGTATTCTCTGTAAAACGGACTGCACACACCCACCTCCCAAGCATGTCCCAGAACCTTTTGCGAATTGCAGTGTTTCTGAAATGCAGAAAACTTGAAAAGCACAATAGGCAGTGGAGTCTGCAGCAAAATAAGCACTCCAGCATAAGTGTGCAATGAGATAAGATTCTTTTTATTGCTAAAAGAGATCAAAATCAATATCTAAATATAACAATTTGATTCTTTTCATCCCCCCCCATTTATATTTCACCCTATGTTGTAATCATCCCTGGAGCATTCAGTTAAAAACAAATAAATTAAACATAATATGCATAAGGAAAGATAAAAATGAACAAATTTGATAATAAATATACACAACCTTCCTTGCTAAGATTTAAAAGAAGCCAGTCACAGGACTGGAGCCATTCCTTAGCCACATTCCTAATGAGTCTGGCATGGTTTCCGTTTTAATATTACTTTGATATCTCCACCAAATAGTGTGTTTTTCTTCACACTCAAGTGTCACAGAAGAGTAATAGAGTAATGCCCGCACTGAAAGCGTTGGGCTTTCAGTGCCTGTAACACTTTCTGGGTCGTCTACAAATTTTTGCTTGGAAGTGATTATTTCACACATTTTCCAAAAATATTTTTCACCCAGAACCAGCGTTCCACTTAAGATCTGTGAAGCTGCTGCATTAAACCAAGTATAGATAGAAATTCCAGCACGCTGTTCTGTTTCAATGGGAGGCACTCCCAAAACCTCAGGAAGCTTAATTCCTTCGTTTGTTAATATAGAATGCAGATTCCACAAAATGGAAATAAGTACCAATGTACCTGCTGCCAAGTCCACAATTGCGCCGATGGAAAAGAAGGTGACGATGAAATCATCGTGTTTTCCCGGCTTAAATATGTTATAAAGCGCAAAGGCCATACAAAAAACGGTCAGCGCATTGGCAATTGAGGCCAATGGCATCAAGTCCTGGGCAAAGATGATTTCAGAGGGTAGGGACTCCTCATCATTTAACGGTATGCATATGATGTTGATCTTCTTCATTGTAATTCTGCACATGGAACAGGCGCCCCAGATCCCAGTGCCCACAATGCCTGGTTTGTTGCTGCCCATAATGTTCTCAATCTGCCACACTCTTTGGAGGACCAGAACCATAGTTTCTGCAGACAACATGCAAATCTCTTGGTAGGGGTGCGTATCCAGAATCGGTTGAAAGCAGGCTCCTCTGATATCTTGTTCTAGAGGCATGTGTGGGTCAGCGTTAGGAGTGGGAGGAATCCCTCCTGCACCTGCTCTTGCCCTCTTGGGCGGATTAGCTTTTTCTGGGAGGAGGGGGGTCGGGTCATTGTCATCCTCCTTAAGGGGGGGTGAGGTTCCCCCAACGTTGTTACTCACTGTTTGTTATATTTGCTCCGTTTTCTCGGCTTCCTCAACCCGCTCTGTTTCTGAGCCAGGGAAGATGGCGTTGGCTCTCTGCCAATTCTTTGTTTTAGAGGAACTGTGAGTCCCAGTTATGCTCTTCTGGCTCTTTGCACCTCGTTTTCTCCTTCCGGCAGGCATTCTCAATAATAAATTATTATTGTTACTCACTCTCCATTCAAGATTGGCAGATGTGGAGCAGATGTTCATAAAGCAGCCAATAAGAGCCAGGACAAAGGCATCCAGTTGCAAACAGAATACTCTGCACAACAGCCGTACTGGAAAGGAGCCATAATGTGCCTGGGCTGGAACTTTAGCTTTGGTACTGGGAAGACTGACGATAGAAGGCATGCTGGAGAAAAACACAGACAAAAGATAACCGTTAGATACTTAGACCCAATATCATATGGACATCCACCTGGCCTAGGGGGCGAGGCCCACATTCACCAGCCCTACTGAAGAGGCTCCTCATGAGGCCGGAGGAACATCGCCCTGCTGTGAGTGTGAAGGCCGCTCCCTGCAAGGCCCTTTCCACCCACCCAGCTAACGTTTTCTTGATTTATTGATTTAATATGCTGTAAACCGCTTTGAGATTTTTATTAAAAATATAAAGCGGTATAGAAATAAATAAATAAATAAATAAATAAATCTCCTAAAGTTTGAGCAAATAGTGATGTGCAGCTAAAACAATGCCATCATTCTAGGACAAATTCTGCATTTCCCACCTTGAGACGTTGGAATGGAAAAGTCTGCTGTACCTGCAGTCATAAGTGCCAGGAATCAGACTTCCCCAGGGGTGAAGAAATGGCACAACTGTACAACCCCTTTTGTTCTATTGGACCCCCTCCATGCAGATAATTGGGCTCTTGTCCACTCCTCTTCTGCTCCCCTCCCTTCCCTCTCCATTGTTAAAATGTCAGGCATGATACAACCAAAGTTACACATCTACCCTCGAAAGAAAGTTTGGTGCAACAGACTAATACAGCTACTGTTCAGGAAATAATCCTTTCCAGCTTTAGGCCCCCCCCCTCTCACACACACACAATGTGAAAAGCCTACCAAGTGGCTCTCAGACAGGACAAAAGAAGAAGAAGAAGAAGAAGAGTTTGGATTTGATATCCCGCCTTTCACTCCCTTTTAAGGAGTCTCAAAGCGGCTAACATTCTCCTTTCCCTTCCTCCCCCACAACAAACACTCTGTGAGGTGAGTGGGGCTGAGAGACTTCAAGGAAGTGTGACTGGCCCAAGGTCATCCAGCAGCTGCATGTGGAGGAGCAGGGAAGCGAACCCGGTTCCACAGATTACAAGACTACCGCTCTCAACCACTACACCACACTGGCTCTCGGAAAAGGAAATAAAAGTCAATTTGTTCTTATCCGAGAAAACACTGCTATGTTGGTGGTGAACTGAGGAGTGCTGCATTTATGCACCTACACGAAATCAGTTCTTCAACTAGTCTCTGGTATGCAAGGGCTTTTTCCAAGGCTTTCTCTTCGTGTGTCTGGCCTAAGAGAAGACCTGAGAAGAGAGAAGCTGGTCTGAGCACAGTAGCAACTGCTCCTTGGAGTTCTGAGGCAGTTGGAATGCAGCTTGCTTTGAACTCTCAGAACAACAGAAATCATAACTCCAGGGTATTGGTCGTTTAGAACATTTGGCAACTGCTTGGAGGCAGTATGCATTTGAATACCAGTATGATTCTGCAACTTTTAAAAGACACCTTTTTGTTAGATGGAAGCGTATGCAAAGATTGGATACAAAATGTGGAAATAAACACCCCAGCTGCCAGTTCCAAAGGAATGAGCGAGCAAGATTTGAAATAAACAAATACACAAATATACAAATATTTAGTTGTTTCCACTGGGTTTGAACACCACTTCGGATTAAAGCAAGTTTATTCAGTAGTACTGGTGGCTCTGACTAGTCCAGTATCCCTTTTCTAAAAATGAAAAGCTTTATAAAAACTCTATGGGGACAGGCAAGTATTAACTCCATATTACAGTCTGTCAGATGTGTGGAGACGTCTGGTACTGTGAAATAATTTATTGCTTAAGTTCGGGCTACTTTGTAAATGATGAGGGGGATATTTGACTCAGAGGTTTCCCAGCCCATTGGTTGCTTTCCTGGTCACCCGGATATCAATTCTCCCTACATTCACTGTGTTGGTCCCCAGGTAGATGACTCTTTTGAGATTCGCTGATCTTCATGTGCTATGGACTCATAATAAATTTTTTTGTAGATTTATAAGTCTTCTACAGATACTTTTCCTGCACATGCTCGTGGGGATTCCTTCCCTTATAAAATGTGGGACTGAAAATATCCAGCATTCCCAGTTTGAATCCCTGAATGGGAAGTGGCAGACACACCCTGTGTGAAGGAGCACTTTCCTCTTACTGGTACTTTTGGGAACATGGGATATAAACGAACTGTCCCTCAATCTAGAGATCTGTAAGCCCCCAGTATACTGCTAAATCAATTTCATTGCTTTGACCTTTCCTGTTAAGGGAGATGATACAGCTCTTAGGTCATTGCTGCTGCCCGTTTCTGTACCTTCCCCAGCTTTATGATACCCATTTTGAGACCAGGTGACTAAAAGAGCACACAGTATTCTAAATGTTAACGTCTCCCTCCGCAAAGAAATGGCCTCGAATTACCTGCCCCTTTCAGTTCTGCCTTTTAAGCCCCAGACTCCTATGTTCTGAATATTTTGTCACAAGCTCAGCTTTCCACCCTCCCCTTAGAGCCACAAGGCCCCGGGCTAAAATACACTGCTACCAAAAATGGCAAAGTGCTCAGTTTAGCAGCGGAAGAAGAAATGAAGCTGCAAGCGGGTTTTGTGTCATTCCCTCACTCTCAAGGGCTGTTTTCTTCAAGCAGTGGTTAGGAAGAAGAAGGGTTTTGGATTTGATATCCCGCTTTATCACTACCCGAAGGAGTCTCAAAGCGGCTAACATTCTCCTTTCCCTTCCTCCTCCCCCACAACAAACACTCTGTGAGGTGAGTGGGGCTGAGAGACTTCAGAGAAGTGTGACTGGCCCAAGGTCACCCAGCAGCTGCATGTGGAGGAGCGTGGAAGCGAACCCGGTTCACCAGATTACGAGTCCACCACTCTTAGCCATGGGGTGCAGGGCATCGGCATAGCCATGCTTTTTGTTGGGAGGGGAGGCCTTTTGATGGGGGGGCAGAACCAATGTGATTGGTCAATTAGTTAAGTATATTTTTTATTGTTTTACTTGATCTAGAGGGGACAGCTGTCCTCACCTTGGCTACGCCCATGGTGCAGGGGGGCAGCTGCCCCTCTAAATCCAGTAAGTAAATAAAAATACTTAACTAGCTGTCCAATTGTGTCGCAGATAACTCAGTTCTGCCCCCGCAACATAAAGCTCCCCCCCCCCATAAGTCCTGGCTATGCCCATGACAAATATAAGATAAAAAACAAATAAAATAAAACCTACATACAGCAACAGTGTTTTGTGTTGTGTAGGCTCCTATGATGTAAGTAATGGGCCCCGCCTGCTAGCCTGCTCCCTAAAATACCACTGGTTCGCTCATTTCTGTATCAGTTACTTTGATATGATACATATTATGTTATGTGCAAATGGCAAATAGATACCTGTTAGGTCCATAAATTACCATATAGCATATATTCAACACAAAAAACAGTGACAATTTGTTGTTGACAAAGGACAGCTGGACAAATAAAGGGCTCCATTACCTTCAGTGGCTTAGGACCTCATCAAACCTAAATCCGGCCCTGTGTATACCCCCCCACCTACAAGTTGCTGTGTCTTCATCTGACTTTCAACCCAGATGTGCAGTTTTCAGAAGGAAAGGGGGCAGAAAAACAAAAGGTGTGAAATCCCCACAACACGCGCTCAAAGGACCTTCTGGGATTGTGACCCACATTCAGTTCTTTACAAGTGTAAAAATCATAGGCGTGTATGACAGAAATATCAGCAATATTCTGGAACTCCAGTTCTGTCTATAAACGGTGTTAATTTTAGCCATCTTCTAGCTAGCTATAACAGGGGTGTGTGTGTGTGTAGACCAGATCTGCTTTCATGGCAAGCTCATAGTTGTGACAGAAAATTTATGATGGGAATCCGAGAAGAGGAAAACCAAAGAGACTCCATTTTGCTTCAGATAATAGGCAAATCAAGGCAGACATAATTTAGCCTTCTCTGCAACTTGCTGGCTTTTCTAACACACCCCACCTACCTCAATACTAACAACCCCACCCACACCTCAATACTAACAACAACATTTTTATCATTTATACCCCACCTATGTGGCTGGGTTTCCCCAGCCACTCTGGGTGGCTTACAGCACCTTAAAAATTGTAAAACAGACATTAAATAGTTCCCAATACTGTACAGAGTTGCCTTCAGATGTCTTCTAAAAGCCACATAGTTGTCCTTGACATTGACATCTGCCATTGCAATAGTCTGACACCCCACCTCACATTTAGATTTTGCCATTTTCACCTCTCCCACTTCCCCCCAAAATGTACCGACCAGCAAACTTAGCTAAAACTGCCAGACGTTCCATCACCCCCTAACCTGCTTAACTGAGAAGCTGATGCTGACTTTGCAAGATGACGTCAGACAAAAAAAAAAAATACTAGGTTGCCATAGTGATTGCTTACGCTGAATGCTAAAAGCCAATAGAGTCATAGTATTATTAATGTATGGAATTAAACAGTATAAGATGTGCGAGCCATTCTGTAAAAAGACAGGCAGGTTTTGGAACTTGATTCCCTTGTACCTTCTTACTGCAGTCTGAATAAATCTTTTCTTTTTCCACCCTGGTGTGATTCTTGACTCATCATCCCAGCATTGGACTTTTGTCCACAACAGATACATCTGCAGATTCAGAATTTCTCTGGTGCTTCATATATATTACATCAGTATTCTGAACTGCCCTCCCCAAAAGGATGTTATGAAGAGTAACGATGCCTCGAATCTGATCTACTAATCAAAACTCTCAGGTTGAGATCCTATTCAGCTATGATTTTATTTCTTGCTGTGAGACACCCTGAGAACTAATAATAATAATAATAATAATAATAATAATTATACTCAGCCCATCTGGCTGGATTTCCACAGCCACTCTGGGTGGCTCCCAACAGAATTAAAAGCACAATAAAACATAGGTAAAGGTAAAGGGACCATTAGGTCCAGTCGTGGCCAACTCTGGGGTTGCAGCGCTCATCTCGCTTTACTGGCTGAGGAAGCCGGCATACAGCTTCTGGGTCATGTGGCCAGCATGACTAAGCCGCTTCTGGCGAACCAGAGCAGCGCATGGAAATGCCGTTTACCTTCCCGCCGGAGTCTTACCTATTTATCTACTTGCACTTTGACGTGCTTTCGAACTGCTAAGTGGGTAGGAGCTGGGACCGAGCAACAGGCGCTCACCCTGTCGCAGGGATTTGAACTGCCGACCTTCTGATCTGCAAGCCCTAGGCTCTGTGGTTTAGACCATAGCACCACCCGCATCCTTAAAACATAGGTAGACATATAAAGAACGTTAGAAATAGCTAAGGGCTGGATTCAATGAACTCAGTGCTATAGCGGAAGTCATTGCAATGGATCTCACCAGGGCAAGGGGGCTTTCCTCCCCGTTCCTCCCTCAGATCTACTCTGGGGAGTCAGGAGAACCCCCAGAACAAAATGAGACAGGGAGAGTGATTGTTCCATCTGGCAAGCGGAAATGCTTTCGCTGATGGAATGATCAGAAGCACTTGGTGTTTTAATCCCTCCCTCTAATTAAATTAAATTAATGAGTGTGCACTGTTTTAACACAGTGGGACTTACTTTTGAATAAACACACCTAAGATCGTGCCATGAAGTGGTTCACAAGCCAATAGCCCAATTCAGACATCACCACTGTGTTAACCATAGCTAGGAAGGGAAACAAATGGTTGACCTTTCAAATAATTAGACAAACGTTAAGAGCTGCTTGTTGGTTTTCTTTTTCTGCCTGCTTAGCACTTCTTTCTCGAGAGTGGTAGCCTCCAGAGGTGGAGCAACAACTGCAGTTATTGTTCAGGCATTATGTCAAGCCATGGTGAACACAAACCATGTTATGTAAACCTTCTTCTAACAAAACTTTCTGATTCTGAATTGCTGGATTGTCAATTCAGTGCACCTTCCGTGACCCAGCTCCGTTCCCTTTTTTTGCTTAAGCTTCCAGCTCATTAAGCAAAGTTAATATTATGCTAAGTATGATTGTAGTAACGAGGCCCAAGGTGCTGCTTAGGAAATAGAAGCAGGCAGCAAAATGTCACAAGTCATTTGTGATACTTGCATCTTGTCAGCACTTACTCCAAGAAGCAGATTGTTTAAATTGTCAGAGAATACAACCAAGACTTTCAGAAGCAGATGAAAACTTTTTCCTTCCGCACCTAGTTGCAAGCCTTTATAATAGCAGCCTAAACTTCCCAGGTACACTATGCATCTAATGTAGCAAAAAAGTTCATTTAATAAAAGCTTATAAACTTATTATATGAAGAACAGAAACAAAATGAGTGCTGGATCTGGAAGCTGAAGAAACACTAGGGGGGAA